TCTTTGGCTACGTGTATTTTCACCAAAAAAAAAAGGTTGAGAAGTTAGAGGGTTGACATGTTGTGGGGTTGTTAACCAATGTCATAAAACAATATGTATACTACTGTTTCATGAGAAACTATTTGTTCTGTAAGCCTTCACCTGAAGTACAATAAAAAAAAATTTAAAAAAAGAGATTCCTTCCAGGTTCCATTAAGAGGCATCGTCTGAGAGGAGCAGGAAGCTTCAGTTGGGTTGAACTTGGAACGATGAAGGGAAGGAAAGGGAAAGGCACTATGCATTTCCTTGCATATTGAATGTGTCCTCCTCTAGAATCTAAGCTCCATGAAGACAGACACGGACACAAGCAGTAAGTCTGTTTTTGTTGTCTGTGCATGATATAACCCCAACGCCTAGTGAAGTGTCTGGCACGTAGTGGGTAATAAATAAACATTTGTTAAATTTTTAAAAAATACCTAAGAGATAATTTAACATAAACTTCTTGTTTGCAGGTGAGAGAAAAAGAATTAAGATGTGCTAAGCATGTATTGGAGCTCTGGTGGCGCGGTGGTTAGGTGTTAACTCTGCTAACCAATAGGTCAGCAGTTCAAATCCACCAGTCACTCCTTGGAAACCCTATGTGGCAGACCTACTCTGTCCTACAGAATCACTATGAATCGGAATCAACTTGACGGCAGTGGGTTTGGGTTTTTTTTTTTTTTTTTTTTTTTTTTTGAGAGGGGAGATAAGCATGTACTATTTCCAGGCAATCTATTAGGCACTCTACTGACAATCCCCTTTAATTTTCATAATAATCTTCCCAAGTAGGTTTTATTATATCTATTTTGTCAAAGCAAAAAAAAAAACAAAACTGGGGTTTGAATGGTCTGCACAACCAAACTAGGGAACACTATTAGTTAATGGGAGAACAGGAAGTTTTCACTGAAACAGACTCCAGAGGGGCATGAACCACAGAGCAGAAGTAATGGAGTCCAAGCCCCGAGGGAACAATACAATGCAGTCATCTTTGCCCCTCGCCCCATGTTGAAAGCATAGACACACACACTAAACACAACGCCACAACTTGTGACAAATATGGTTTCCTCTGCCAGCAGGCTTCAGCTCCCTAATTAGAAACAAACAGTCGCCTGCAAGCCAGTGTGCAGAACACACATGCAGCTTTATGCCAGAAACTTGGACTTTTTTTTCTCAAAACATAACACTGAAGGTAAATTCAAAGAGGCTTTTTGCAGGGTTCATAAAGCAGAATTTACTCCCACCTCTCACATAAAATCAACAACACCTCTCCACAAATGAAGATTTGTAAAGAGCTAATGAACTTATGGTCGTAGTCACTACCCCCACAGTAGGTTGCCCACCAGCCAGAGTTCCCTTAAAATTTGTGACATCACAACCCCCTTATCTGTATCACTCACCTCCTTCCACCTCTCCTTTTCATGGATTCTGAGCTGCTGGGTTCTACAGCCATGGTCAAAGGTATCTACAGCCAAGCCACAGAGCCACAGTGCCACTGGTGTTCCCAAGCCGCAGAGAAGGCTCCAGCTCTGGGTAGATTTGCTCGCCAGGTCTCTGTTTGATAACATAAGCGAAGGCATTCACTCAGTGTCCTATGCCAGTATGAAAGGCATCTTACCCATCAATGTGACAAGTGAAATGCTGGAATGGAGCCAGGGAACAAAAGGGAAGAAATGTGGATTCTTACCAATGCAGTTGATACCATTTTTTAAGGGTAGCAGATGATGAAGGGGAAAAACAGGCAGAGAGTCAGTGCCCTGCATTAAAACCTTGGATCCTTCTCTGAATGAGTCAGGGTGAGCATTTTGTTTTCAAATTGAATGTCTATTTTTTTCTTTTTTTTTCCTTCCAAGCTGTAGGATGGTTACATACTCAACAAGTCAAGGGGACTGCTGTAAATAACACGATTTATTTTTGAGGCTGTGGATCAAAAAAGAACCTTGAATTTCACCCCATTGTTATTTATAACTAAAATGTATTATTTTTTTCTATTTCATGTGATTTTTGAGAATTGTCTGCTATGTCTTCCTCTGGCATTTCTGTATATGCCTGAGGTGGGCTGTATTACTGGAAAGCACAGAGGAATGCTCTGAGAAAACCCTTCTGAGATACTAAGCAAGAGTCAAGAGAAAACGAATACCTATGTTCCAAGCTGATTCAGGAACCACATTTTCCTCTGTCTCTTATTCTTCAGTCTGGGGACCCTACATGACCTATGATGTCTCTGACAACCACAGTTATAAGGGGCTCCTTATACTTTTTTCTACCAATAGGTGGCATCCAAACCCCTCTAGCTTTTCTTCACTGCATTTTTCAAAACCATAGGCAGACCGTATTTTTTTGAGACTTTACAGTTACTATGGGTGATGTTTTAAAGGCCACTAAATCAGCTATATTCTTTCAGTGCAGCTTATCCCATTTATCTACTAATTAGGTCTCTCTCAGTCACTTCTCTGGGCCTCAGTTTCCTCATTTGTGAAAAGGTATTTAACAAATTCAAATGAATTCCAGCTCTGAGATTCTGCTTTTCAGCTACATAATGTCTGCTACCCAACCACACTAATCCTCATGCTTGTGATATGCCTATTAGGACTCCACTTCTTTGGGAGTAAGGGATGCTAGCGTCCAACTATTCGTCTGTTGCAGAGACTGTTATTTTCTTAGCCTATGTGTATTTGTATGTTCCTTTTCTCCTTTAAAAGAAGACCTTAGTAAGAGCTCAATGTGCTGAACACAAAACCTCTATTTCCCAGCCTTTCTTGAAGATGGGGTAGCCATGAGACAAAGGTCTAGCACCGCCCTGTCCAATATGGTAGGAGTTGATGCATGCAGCTACTTAAACATAAACTTATATTTATTAAAATTTTATTTCTTCAACACTAGCCACATTGTACGTGCTGAATAGTTAGTGACGTGGCTAATAGCTACCATTTTGAACAGTGCAGATATAGAACATTTCCATCATCACAGGAAGTTCTGTCGTAAAGCACTGGCCAGCAGTTGAAATGTCAGTGGAAGTTATAGAAAAGTTTCCATGAAAGTCTTAAAGGCGGGCAGGAGGATAGTGACTCAGCTGACATGTATCTTTATCCCTTTATGTCCTCCTTTCTTTCTACCTGGAAATAAAGGTAGACCAGCTATCATGAGACCAGGAAGCCACAAACGTTTGTCAAGACAGGTTGAGCAAAAAGGTAAAAGGAACCTGGGTTTTGGTATCCTGAAACCAACCACGGTATTGTCAATTTTATTATGAGAAAAACAAAACCTCTAGTTGATTCAAGCCACAATTTTCAACTTTTTATTACTACCAGCCAAATATCATTCCTAATTTGTTTACCCTCAGAAAGTTACCTAGACAATTTTCTATTAATGGCTTGGATAAGAAACTTTCCTTCCAGTTTTCTTTACTTTGGATAGGGTTGAGGAAAAGACCCGGGCTAAAAGAAACAAAAAATTTACACAGAAAGAGAGAGAGATTAATGATTTATTTAAATAAACCAAAATAGGCCAAAGGTGTAGGGTATGGGACATTAACGATGTCCAAAATAAATATTCTCTATTTTGTGGTTGGTTGAAGAATAGCCCTCCATTTTCCCGAAGAAGAGGTTGGTGGGTATGGAGAGATAAGGAAAATAATACTTGAGCCTGTACTATGTATAATTTGACTGTATAATTTAACAAACATTATCATATTTAACTCTCACGACAACCCAGTAAGGTAGGTATTTGTATCCCCTTTTTTTCTACAAATAATAAACTAGAGAGGGTAAGTATCTTACCATACACAGCTAGTAGGGGGTGAGGTGAGTTTCAAACCCACATCTGCTTGGCTCTTGCCACTACCTCATAATAAAACTCCCCTGATGAGCGAGGGTCATCAGATTCTGCTGCACACCTGTTTATTTCAAGGCTCTCATTCTATCTTCTGTGCCACTTTTTTTCACAAACTCCACTCTTTTCTACCGTAGAAAAGACTGATGAACTTTTCATAAGCTTTGGAATGCTGTCAATCATCAGAAAGCCCAGCCTTCCTCTGGCAACTTTGGAAACCGTCAGAGATTTTCTTATTTCCAGAAACTGGGGAGTTATATGAGAATTGTTCTCTATTTTCACGTAAATTAGCCTCATGACATCCTTGTTGGGATCTGGCATATGAGCAGAGAACAAATTGGTGGATAATTCCCACATATGACACAGAATGCTGAAGCTGGAGAAATAGCTTCAATTCAAACTGAAAGGAGATTGCTTCTTCTTTTGAAACTCATAGGAGAAAACAAGTTAAGTAAAAACTTCATAATTTTTATTCCTGAGGTAATACTAAGACAATAAGAAAGGCATATAAAGGGAGCATATAGATCTAAAAAGGAAAATGAGAGGAAAGTAATACCATTGTAGAACTTAAAATCACATTCTGCAAAAAGCAGAAGAGGTAGTGTGGAAAACATAGGGCAGAGTCACAGAGGGCAAAGTAATTGATGTTTATGGTGACCTGTATCATTATGGTGACCCCATGTGTTACAGAGTAGAACTGCTCCATAGGGTTTTCTTGGCTGTAATTTTTATGGAAGCAGATCACCAGGCCTTTCTTCTGCAGCACTGCTCAGTGGTTTCAAACCATCAACCTTTACATTAGTAGTCGAGTGCATACTATTTGGGTCACCTAGGGACCTTGTTGAAATCAACTTGACAGCAACAGGTTTGGTTTCTGTTTTTGGTATCGTTATGGAGAAATTCAAGTTAATATTGAATTATTTATAAGCAAGAACTAAATTTTATAAATATCTTTTCCAAAAATGGTTAGATTATTATTCAGGGGCACTTAAAGATAATTAATTTAATTATCTTGAAAATTCACAAATCTAGAACACCACACATCCTTTCTCCTAAATCTACACCCTACGTTGACTCTCTCAAGAGTACCATTTTGTCAGCAAGAAGAAAAGAGAGTCCTTCTCCAGAAGATGTATAGCAGAGGAGTCATGCAGACATTGCCCTCAATTCCATTTTCTCCTATCCTTTCCCTTGAATTTTGGCTTGGAGAAGGAGGCACCCCTGGGCTCCAGACTCTTGCCTCAGCCACCTAATATGGCAGAGAGAAACCTAGACAATCTACAAGTGTCTTCCATACTTTTTCCTGGTTATTTTCAACATCTATGGCATTGTCCAGCAGTACATGAATGAAAAGACACAGTCTCTTCCACCGGTAAGGGTATATCTAGTTAGCAGAGACAGACAAACATAAACAATTTCAACCCAATATGACTATTGTAAGAATGAGGTCTCTCCATGAGCCAATGGAAATGAGGAAGGAGACCTATATGTGTCTAGAAGAATCAGGGTAGACCTTAGGGCAGTTATGCAGGAGCTAAGATCTATAGAGGTTGAGCAGGCAGGTAATAGCAAAAGACATTTCAGCCAAGGAAACAACATCGACAAAGACTCAGAGTCAAGTCAGGAGGCATGGCATGATCAAGGAACTTTAAGTAATTGAGTAGTTATCTGTACCTGCAAATAAAGATCAGGGAGAAAGGAGCAAGCACTGAGGCAAACAAGTGGGCATGGCTTAAGTACAATGTGTAAGACTTACTAAGGAGGTTTTATCTTATCCATGAACCACTTATTGCCAAATTCTGAGAAAGGATCTAGAATTTTCCTTAATTCACGGTGAGATGAGAAAAACAAGATTTTTATACAACTAAATTAATTTTTGAGATTTTGAGATCTAATTAGTCACTGGATTCTTGTTAACAATGTATTACGGACTTCTATCATTTTTTAAATGTCCTTACTTGGTGTCATGGATAGAATTATGTCCCCCCAAAAATGTGTGTATCAGTTCGGCTGAGCCATGATTCCTGGTATTGGGTGATTTTCACATGTGTTGTAAATCCTACCTCTATGATGTTAATGAGGAGGGGTGGACAGCAATTGTATTAGTAAGGCAGGACTCAATCTACAAGATTGGATTGTGTCCTGAGGCAATCTCTGAAGATATAAAAGTCAGAAGGGAGCAGAGAGATAGGGGACCTCATTCCACCAAGAAAGTAGTGCCAGGAGCAGAGTGTGTCCTTTGGACCTGGGGTCCCTGCTTGAAGAAGCTCCTAGTCCAGATGAAGATTGATGAGAAGGCTGACAGAGAGAGAAAGCCTTTCCCTGGAGCTGAAGCCCTGAATTTGGACTTCTAGCCTACTTGACTGAGAAGAAATAAATTTCTCTTTGTTAAAGCTGTCCACTTATGGTATTTCTGTTATAGCAGCACTTGATGACTAAGATACTTGGCAACCACCCTTTCCCAAAAAAATGTGTTTTGACATCTGTTCTAAACATTTGGAAACACTGGCTGGAGGTCATGGGTTGATACAGAAAAATTCTGAGCAGGAATGTCATGATCACATGTCAGTGTTAAATTAGGGAGGGATTTGTGAGGGAGAATATTAGAGGTGGAGAGATGAGTAAGGTGTCTAGTCACTGTATTCATTTACTTGATATTTACTGAGCATTGTTCTGGTCTTAGGAATATAATGATGAACCAGAGGGCAAGATCTTTGCCCTCATGGAGTTAACAGTCAAGTTGGGGAGACAGAAAATAAACAAAGAGATTGGGAGTCATGGAGAAGGAGAGAAAGAGAATGAGAAAGAGGCAGAAAC